CGGTCCTATACCGACTCACACCACGTCGGATACGGGCCCCTCCAATTTCCGTTTTGGCGCCAATTCTACAGCCGAAGAGCCGTCGTCAAGACCGAATCGCGACCGATCTCGACCGATCCCAGCCTTGAATCCCGCTCATAGTCCACAAAACCGCGAGGACGCGCTTGCTCCCTGGCAAAGGAGAACTCCACCTGTCCCAGCAGGGACTAATTGGTGCTGACGACGCGGCAGAACGAGACAAAGCGACCTCGCCGATTTCGAGCAAATGAGGCATTATCGAGGAAAAGATTGTCCTTGTGCTTCTATCGTCTAATTACGCAGGAGAAATTTTATCACGCGCTGTGATCAACCCACCTTCATCACCACCTCAAGTGGTGCCAACAACCCTTGCAACGCCTAGATGAGAGCCTGACTAGCCAATCTTCATGATGACACAGCAGCTGTAAACCGCGATACTTGTAGCCGAAGGTAAGCTCACAAACACGAAGCTCATACACATGGAGGGAACATAATATCCGAACACACGAGGACGGTGACGATCGCGCCGACCGAAAATTTAAAATTTCGATTTGTCTTGTTCCGCGCCCACACACGCAGACGTACCTATCTACCTAGATATTGTCCTTAGAAAGTTCAGGATCTCACGATGACGAAATTGGATTGCGCGATATATCGACGGCCCATAATTCACAATACGACAAACACTTCGGTCGTGCAAACACTCTCGGTGATGACGACGTCTATGGTGATCACGATGGCTTGCGAGCGGCGATAGCTATGGTGCCTTGGCGCGGGCAATGACTACATGACTCAGACCAGTAGTGCCTCCCCCGTGCTAGCGTCCGCGTCCAGTCACCACCTGCACCTCCCGACTCCAATCAAGCAGTACTACCGGTAGCAAGTCCGTCACGGCTAGACTCCATGGAACAAACAGAACCCGTCGATCCGATTAATCTACGGCAGTTCGATTCAGTATGTTTTTCCACGTACCGGCCCTGAGCAGATAGGGGATGCGTTACTACCCAAGGGTAGGTTGTTTCAACGTCGGAGGGGTTTGAAGGCGGCCACAAAGTGGCTGTTGGCAACAGGCTCCATAAAAGTGCCTCTTGATTGACTTACCGTGAGGGCACGGGTGTGCAGCCCCTACACTAGTTTGTTCGGTGAAGAGAGAGAGAGAGAGAGAGAGAGAGAGAGAGATGGGGTCCACTTGTATTTTTGAAATCTAAAAATATAAATTCTAAATATTAATATTTTATTGGTTATTGTATAAAAACATATCAATATCCATATTATTAGTTGAAAAACTAGGCTACCAGAGGGGCCCCGGGGCCAAGTCCCACAAGCAGCGTTGAGCTACCTCAACGCCTGAATGTGGGCGCGTTTGCGGAGGTATGCAGAAATGGTGTTGAGTTTCCTGAACTGCACCTCGCCACAAACACGTCCAGATTCAGGCGTTGAGGTAGCTCAACGCTGCTAGTGGGACTTGGCCCCGGGTCCACTTGCCCAGCCGAGCAAAAAAGAAATAAAAAAATAAAAAAATAAAAATTAATTTTTAATTTAAAATTATGTTTTAAATTTTGTAAGGAATTTCGATGTGACCTTGAGGCAAAA